AGGCCTGGGTCCCAGGTGCCAGAGGAAAACCAGTACTGGAAGCCAAGGGAAGGAAGGCCTATTGCACACATCTCTTCATGCAATAGGCCTCTAGTTTTCTATAATTGTTACCTTTGGCTTTTTTCATAAGTAAGCTATATAATTGGCAATATATTTTTATTTTCATTGTATAAACCTTAATAAAAATTAATTATCATACTATTAAAATCTCTCAAAACTCAACTATAAATAATCACTGCCAAGATTTGAAGTATCTATAGTATATAACAAGTCTTTACATATCCATTCATACAGATGGTCAGGACAAAACTCTATTCCTTTATTTTGAATTTGTTTTTCTTTCATAGCATTTATCTGTGCCGGAACATTACATATTTATTTATTTGTTTATTATCTATCTGTCCACACTGGAACATTAGAAAAGTAGAGAAGAAGCTTTTGCCTATTCTTTTTCTTTTTTTTTTTTTAAATAGAATTTATTGCATGGCATAGTGAATTCAATACATAAAAAAAGTTTAATTGTCATTATTGGCACATAATGAAGATTTTTAAAACACTGCTGAATTAACACTTCAAAAATTTTAAATCAGGTTCCATAAAAAAATAAAGCCTAATAGTGTTATAAAGTATTAATTTACACTAACCTCCATATCAAAGTGTTTTAAAAAAGGATTCCATACTAAAACCAATAATCTAAGAAGTAAAAATTCAATCATATATTTTTAAAAAGGTCCTCATTTAAACAAAATACAATAGAAGGTATAAAATAGGCAACAACTACAAAATTTACATTGACTTGTCCTACTGGAAAGTTCTGCAAACTAACCAGATAAACTTTGGATATTTTTAAAAAATCCATATTCCAAAAGAATGTTTACAATACTTTATGCCCAATTAAAGAAACACATGATAACATTAAGTATTCTACATTTTTTTCTTTTAGTTGCTACATTATTACAGGACTATTCTAAAATTTTAGTTTTAAGAAATCATTTTACCCCATGATCATTTTCATAGATACAAAGGCTGTTCTGAAGTATAGAAACATTAAACAAGTTCACATATGTGGCCTTCACTATAATATGGCCTGTATATTATTCTATCAATCTCATTTTGTTTACTCTGTAAATTCAGTAATCCAAATCATGAATATTACACAATTTCTTTCAAATTCCAAAAAGTTGAGTAATTTGACTCAGATCTTTTGAATTTACAGAGTATCTTTCTTCCAGGAAGCATAAAGTCATTTATATTCAGTATTTTTACTTTATTTACATTTCTTGCCCCAATCTGTTTAGAATTAGCCTCTGAGGTAAAACGATCACTGAAAATAAAAATTTTAAACTGTAGAATTTATTATTTGACATCTTCTTGAGTAAATTCAACTCTTTCCCTTGCTAATAGAAAAATATAAAGCCTTCCAAACGAGTACATTGCACCAGTTTGAAATGCAATTCTATTATTTTTGAAATCTCATTGGTTGAGATCAGGCTAAATTTTTAGAGATCAAGCTTAAATAAATTAAATATTTTTTTAGTCAAATGTAAAAATGTCTGCTTATATCTAAGGAAAAAATTGAAGGAGCAAAAGAAAACTAGAAAGCTCATTTGTACGGAATATAAATGTATCATTTAAATAAAATCTCTATGGACATTTAATTAAAATCTATGAATGCCAACTGCAGATGGGTTAATATTTTCTTCTTTCTAAAAAGAAATAAATTGTGGATTTTATTAATAAGGTATTGCTAATCTAAAAAGAAAATACAAGATAAAATATAATGTATTAGAAAAGCAAGGTTTTCCTCACAAACCGAATTATCTTTGCTGAAGTAAACTGAAGTGAAGACTCTACAATTTGAGATATTTAGTGATTTATGTTGGATAAGTTGCAAAAATGTTCATAGAAAATATCTAAGAAGTAACAATTTTTTCAATAGGTAATAATATAGGATATAGTATTGTTTTTAAGACATATTTAGTTAAAAAACCAATTTATCTTCTTAAAGTTACTGGTGATGGGAAGGCAAGAGAGGAATAATAGAGCCTTTTAAAGACAAATTGGCATCTCCCCTACTCTTTGTTTACTTTGACTCGTAAAATATTTTTGTACTTTGTTGTAATTTCTCTAAATATATTCAGCGGGGTTGTTAGAAAAGTTAAGTATAATGTAAAGTTGACACTGAGGATGGAGAAACAAGGAATTTCCCTATTTCTTTTTTAATAGCAAACTAGAAAGGAAGTTTTACCTCCTCGGTAGTTAATGGTTGGATACAGTAGAAAAATTTCATATTTACAGATTTAAATTTTCCTTAACATTCTTCATCAAATGTGGCTGAGGTTGAGGCTTTTGAATATCAAAAAGCTGAGATGAGAATGCACATAATTTTACTAAAAAAGATGTATTTTGGCAAACATTTTATTGATATTAAAAATGAAAATATAGTTGGATCTTTAAAATGACATTTCATGTGTTCTATCAGCATTTGCCAAAAAAAATTAGATTCTTAGCAAAAAATTAAAACTTGATATTATAGAGACAGAATGAAGAATACCCCTTACTGGTCAGATACTTGTCATTTACTGAAGGATCCGTAATTGTATTAGGTGGACAGAGGGCTGTCAGGGGAGTTTCTCTATCTGCTACTTACTCAGCAAAAGGAACAAACAAAAGCATCCAATTCCCTCAAATGCTAAATTTAGGTGTAATACCAAAGCTCTCATTCATTTTAAAAGGCATTAGGTTTATATTTTAACCAGCTGAACTGGCTTTAGAATGAAAGAGCATAGAGTGGCTAATATCTTGTATATTATTTCTAGAAAACGTGAAATTCCACTGCCTTTGGAATTAATTGTTATTTGGAAATTTCTTAGCAAAAAAAAAAAGGAAATACAATTTGACCTCTGACTTCCAGAAGAATGTTGAAGGTCACAAGCAAAGAATGAGAGGTTTTTTGTCTCTCGCCCCCCCCCGCCCCCCCAAGTTATAAGGTTAGAGTGGTTCATTGGTCTAACCCAGCAATTTTCAACCAGTGTGCTGCACCTGGTGTGCAGCAAGAATCTTCACAACAGATAATATTGACTATTTAGTCAGGGGCACAGACCTCTTTCCCCTTAGACTGTCAAATAAATAAATGACAACACTCGACACAACAGCTGTCCAGCGTGGATGAATCAAAATTATACCTATTTTTTTGTGTGTGTCAGAATGACAAACATATATTTTTTGTATGCTGCAGAATTTTAGTAATTAGTTTATGTGTGCCATGAGATGAAAAAAGGTTGAAAATGTCTGGTTTAACCTACTCATTTTGCAGATGAGAAAACTGAGACATCAATGTCTGACACCAAGACAATTTACTCACACTTCTGTCATGTAATTAAAATGACCCTAACACCCCAGTCTCCTCTCTTTTGTCTCTCTTTCTTCTGAAGCACACCTGGTAAATTAGTATACCATCCTCCACCAAAATATAAAAGGTTAGCTGTGGTTTCCTTTGGAGAAAGGAGAAGGAATTAAGATAGTGGGGGGTGGGAGCAGGGGCAAGAGGGGATTGTTAGGGATATTACAGTTAAGTGGTGAGCCAAATGTATTAATGCATAAGTTTATATAAAATACTAAGCCTGAACATCAACAGGCCCAAACTTCAGAGATCAGAAACACCACAGTGAAACTGAGTGTTACTATAGAAATTTAAGCTATACCTTCAAGAAAATAGCAAACCACTGAAAACTGTGGATGACATTTTTGTGTCCTTTTAATGACTAGTTCTATATATTAGGTTTCCCTATACAGGGAAAAATATTGTAACATAAAACATAGCAATTTGAAGCAATTCAGGTTCTCAAGATTAAAAAAGGAATGAATTAAAAAAAAAAAAAACGTATGCTATAAACATATTCCCAGATTATATTTTTTTAACTTCTGCAGTTTCTGGAATTCCATTATGGAACTTCCTTCTTGCATAATAATCAAATTTCTAGAGAGCACAAAATTTTCATTTTTTGTTTTCAGTAAAATCTGTTCAGAAATTCACTTGGACAGAAATACTTTTATCTATCACGAGTTGAAAAGAAATAGGTTTCAGTAAGAAAAATACAGGGATGGATAAAGACCTTTTTTTTTAGAAAAATATACTGTATATAATACATTTTGAAAGTTATTCAGACCATGTCCTTTTATTTAATGTGAAGGCACAACTTTAACATAGTTAAAAGCAAATGTATTTTAATCTCATATGACATAGTTGACAGTATCAGCTCTTAAAAATGTATATTTGCGAGCATGTCATTGAAGATTCTTTCAGATTGTCAATTCTAAAAGCAAAACTCTTTTGCAGAAAATCAGTTGAAACATTATGGCAGGTCCACATGATATTACTGTTGGATAATCTGTTCACCAGCGGCCACAGGGGTTTCTTCACTTGTTGCATAGTCCGGCTGGTCCACCATCTGAGAGCTGTTTCCTTTCCAGAACTTTTTCATTTCTTTACGTCTCCAAGCAACAATTGAGGCAGTAATAAGTGTGCACGGCACTAAATAGAGGAGAGCAGGTTGCCCCTTTTTCATCAGCACCAGAACAACAAAAGTAATTATCATGCCAACAGCATAGGCAATTGTGGAGGAGACATAGTAGATAGAAGAAGAAGAACGAGTCTGTTGATCAAATCTTCTACAGAATGCAATCAACAGGCCTGGTACAATAATGTCTCCAAAACCCAATATGGAAACTGGCATGGGGCATACACTCATTACTGAGATATATGCCAGCTTTGGTACTTTGATGCCTACTGGTAACTTGTCCTTATTTCCAAAAGGTCCAGCTGCAAGTTCAACCAGGATACTCTCGCCGTTCTTTGTGATGAACGGTGTTATGAAAACAAAAAACACATCATAGAAGAGGAGAAGGCCTAGAAGTATCACACATGACTTGAAGTTGGGTAACTTCATTGTTTTAATTAAATTCAGGCAGAAAGCAATCCCCAAGATATCCTGTAAAATCTAAGCCCACCTATCTTCATTTCTAAACACAGCCCAAACAGCAGCTATTGCTATGCACAGTCCAGAGAAAAAAATAAGTCTCACTGCAATGCTTTTGCCACGACACACAATTGTGCATTGTCCATATGCAATCCTATGAATTAGTGCAGCAAGACAGTTGTATAGACTCATTGCTGATGCTATGCAGAAAATTGTTATCATAACATAAACCAACCATTTGTAGAAGAAATAAAATAAGACCATCATAACACAGCAGATGGCCACAAATATTACAACTGTTAGAGGACTGAAAGTTAAATATTCGTCCTTCTTTCTCGTTTCTCTGTCTTCAGTGTCTGCCATTGCCTTCCTGCTTTCCAATTCAAGTAGTCCACTCCAGTATCCTCCTAATGCCACAGTGAACACAGAAATTACAAAAATAACCACCATGGCATAGTCAAAGTTAGACCTTGACGGTGAATACATTTTCACAGTAATGTTATCTCCAAGAGCCTGCTTTATCTTTTAAGTCTTTGTTGTTTATAAATGCAATCGGTATTTTCACTTCATCAAATGCAGATCTGTTCCCTGAGGGAGCAAATACAATACTGTTATTGGCAACCAACAATGCTTCAGCACCTCCGGTTTCTGCAATTCTGGCTTTTTCAAGAAAATGGCAGGTTCCCCACTGAACCACAACTGCTTTGTTCTTTATTTCATCAGGAGGAATATCAGAACTGTCACGCAGTGGTGCGGAAGTCAGATTCTTCAAACTAAAGGAAGTTGCATTTTCTAGTGTTCTTGGCAGAGCTGTCCAATGAGGGTTATAGACCATGCAGTAGTCCTTAGATGGTAAAAGTGTGCCAATTCCAAACGCATGCAGGATTGCTTCCTGAGCAGCTGTCAGCCGGAGGAGGACGCCCCAGAGCAGGGTGGCCCTGGCGCAGAGCCGCAGAGCAGCGGGGGAGGCAGCTCTATCCGTGAGCTGGGCGCCGGGAGACGCTGCTCAGCAGGGCGAGCTCGGGCTCCGGGTCCCAGGGTGCTGCCTCCATAGCTTAGCCAGACCTGAGGGTGGCGGGGCTCTGACTGGCTGGTGGGCATGGCTGGTGGGCATGGCGGAGTGATGGTTAATTTGCATATTACTCTTTTATTAGGTAGAATAATTCCCAGGAGTAAATTTGATCAGTTGAAGAAAATAAACATTATTAGGCTTTTTATATAAATTATACTTTTCTCCAAAAAGATACACAAACTGATACTTTTAAAATAGTCCCATGATTAGTTTTCTTTATTTTTTTTATTAGTTTTCTTTAATGTAAAGTAATAGAATGTCTGGTTTTAATTAAGGCAGGTTAAACAAATATTGGTGATTAGTATTTATTGGAGATATAAGGAAAGTTAGTAAGAAAAACAAATGAACTAAATTGAACAGTCCAATATACTATATATATATTACATTAGAGACTAAATATATGCATGAAAGAAGAGGTACATACTTTAAACGGTTTAATTTTCTTCATTTTAGGTTAATTATTCTCACAAGAAAATGTATCTTTCAAGCAGATAAAAACTGTACTTACTTAAAACATCAGTATCTTCTAAGTCCTGAAGAATGAGCTCTTCAGCAGTTTTACTCTTATTCTTTATGATGTTAATACAGTGAAGAATTGACTCGGGTAATTCAACTAAGTCCTGAAAATACAATAATGAAAGAAAATATAAAAGTTTTCATTAAAACTATGTATCAAATATCCCCTCCTTCATTCCACATCAAAAATGTGAGAAAATGCATAGATGAGGTAAAAGGCTGTAAAGAACATAATTCATCTCACACCTGTCAGAATAGCTATCATCAATAAATCAACAAATGACAAGTGCTGGTGAGGATGTGGAGGGAAGGAAACCATTATGCACTGGTGGTGGGAATGCAGACTGGTGCAGCCATTGTTGACAACAGTATGGAGTTCCTCAAAAAATTAAAAATGGTACTGCTTTTTGACCCAGTGATCCCACTTCTGGGAATATATCCTAAGAATCCCAATACACCAGTCAGAAAGGATATATGCATCCCTGTTTATAGCAGCATGATTTACAATAGCCAAGATGAGCAGATAAAAATCTGTGGTACCTTTATACAATGAAATACTATATTGCTCTAAAAAAGAAGGAACTTTTACCCTTTGTGACAGAATGGATGGACCTGGAGAGTATAATATTATGCTAAGCAATATAATCCAGTCAGAGAAAGACAAATTAGTATTATCTTACTAATATGTGGAATCTAATGAATAAAATAAACTGATGTACAAATTGGAACTGGAAGCTTGGATATGTGGGACAGACTGGGCGGTGTCCAAGGGGAGGGGAGGAGGGTAACCGGATAAAGAAGGTGAAAGCTTTAGCTGAAGAACATGTGTGCTTACCCTGCAGACACTGACAATATTGTGGCGAAGCCCAAGGGAGCAGGAAACAGGGGAGGGGGCCGATGCTTCATCCACTGAGCCAAACTGGCCTCAGCTGTGTTGTTGTTTTTATAAACTTAGTTGAGAAGCTTTTGAAATTGCAAAACAAAAAATTGGACTCATTTGAAATTGAAAAATATAAAACTGTAATACAGCAAACATTAACAGTAATGGAAAATATAGATAATCTTGGATAGATCATATGTAAAACACTAAATGCATAAAAAGATAAAATAAATCAATTGAGAAAAGTTGGATTATTCAACAAGTGACACTAGAAACATTAGCTAAGTATGTTCAAGAAAATTTCAAATTAGATCATTTTATAACATAAATTTCCATTGGATTAAGAGTTTTGAGATAAAGAAAGGAATCATAAACAGATTTTTAAAGCATATAAACATTGGAAGAAATATACAAGTGAAAAGATAACATGTTTGATTTAAAAAAACAAAAAAAGCATTACCTCTATAGATCTAAAGTTTTCACATAAAGTTTGCTTCCATCCATATATATTCATATTAGAATGTTCATGATTAATGTCAAAAAGCAGGATCCATCCATATATATTCACTGGAAGAAATATACAAGTGAAAAGATAGCATGTTTGATTTTTTTTTAAAAAGCATTACCTCTATAGATCTAAAATTTTCACATAAAGTTTGCTTTCATCCATATATATTCATATTAGAATGTTCATGATTAATGTTAAAAAGCAGGATACAATGTTAAAAATCCAGCTTCTAATATATACATAATGGTATAATCCCAATTTTACCCAAAAAATACACATATAGAATGTGGATGATTTTTATCTTCAATAAATTTTTATCTTTAATAAGGTGATTTTTATCTTCAATAAACTTTTATATCTAAATATCTATCAATTTACACTGTTTAAAGATGATCCTAAGCTTAAACATGAGATAAATACACAAAACACATTGAGAAAGTAAAGTATCTCCTGAAAAGTTTCCTCCAATTAAAGGGCTCAAAAGTCCCAAACTTAACACTTACAGCATCACTCTCATCACTCTGGGTTTCTGTGTTTGAATCAGTGTCTGCATGATCTGTTTCCAATGAAGAAATGCTGATTTTGTCCAATTCAGCCTCTATTTCTTCATTGATCTTTACATCATCATTATCTTCCATCATCCTTCACAATAAATCACAGAACTAACTGAAGAAAATTAAAAAGGCTAATGCTAATATAAACTGTGGGTTCTTTAATGTATCATAATTATCCAACATTGTTCTATATACACATTTTAGTTTAACAAATGTTCATCATACCTTATCATGTCTGAACCATATATTTAAGAATAATCTTTGACTACAAAATAGTCAGGTTTATTACTAGACTCTCTAAGTTTATTACTAATTCTCTAAGGCAGTGTTTCCCAAAGTGTGGTACGCATACCACCAGGGGTAGGGGAAGAGTCTGGTGGGGATATGCACTGCACCGTGCTTAGCTGCGCCTAATTCTAAGTTCTCATGAGTACGAGGGGTACTCAGCGTTACGAAAATTATAGAAGGGGTACACATATGTCAAAAGTTTGGGAAACACTGATCTAAGGGTAAAGTTAGATGGAATAAGCTGGCTTGCCTTCCTGAACCAAGAAACTTCACAAAAGAACTCATCCTAATAGAAATGATTAATAGAAAAATGTATATATATATATATATATTTACATTTTATATATATGAAACATAAGGCTAGTTTCTATTCTTTAACTCAGAGTTGTTAATTTTAGCAGAGAGAGCCATGTTTTGCAACAATAACATGAAATATTGGGTAATAATGGCATGTAAAATAAAAATTTATTTCATTTAAATCTGCCCAGCAATCCTTCTGAACATCTCCTTTTCTAATAACCTTCAAATTGTTTATCATAACCCATTAGCAGATCAAAAAGTTAATTTAGTGCCTCTTGATTATCAAGTTTTAATGACAGGATAGGATAGAAAATATTAGAATAGGCCAGAAAAGAAACTATAATTACACTATATATGCTAAAGATAAGAATTGTTTAAAAAAAAAACATGTTTCTAAAGTATGTATGTGTGCCTGCTTGAATTACAATGTAACCTATTTTTTGTTGTTTGTTTTATTGCGGTTCTAGGTAAAAATAATTTTGAAAATAACTGTACTAGTCAGCTATTATTTTATTTTAGAGGCTATTCCAAACTTTCATTCTTTCCTCAAGTCCCTGGACTTTCGACCTCTGAACTCTGTCTTCTTGGATTTGTCTGCCTCCCTCTCTTCCTTTCTCCTTCCCTCCCTCTCTCCCTCTTTTACCTTCCCTCCCTTCCTCTTCACCCCCCCCCCCCCTTATTTTACCCATCCATCTCAAAATCAGCTTTTTTGGTGGATTCAAGACAGAATTATGCTGAGAAACCAAAGCATGAAATACTTTGGTTTTCAAAACTAAATTATTCCTGGTTTTACATCTAATTAAGTTTAATATTTTCATTATCAAAGTTCATGCTAAAATGCCCACCCCTTTTTTTTTAGTTTAGTTTTATGGCTGATTTATAGACTATTCAAACTCTTCACTTATAATGGCCAGACTAGCATATGATGTTGAAATTCACATGTAAAAATTTTAAGCTTAATTTTATTTATAATTAGGAAAGTAGGCGTTTTCATATATATAAACTATTAGTAATCAATTAATTTCTAAAACTAATTTTAAATAGCTAATTTAGTAATCAGCTAACTTGAAGATAATGTATAGATTGCTTTCCTTCATAAATCTTACCTTGCCAAAGGAATGGATCCATTACAAGGGCAGACTCTCATCTTGACCTCCAGGGGGCGCTAAGCAGTCTTTCTCAGTCATGAGGCATGGTTAATGCCAGAAAACAAAATAAATAAAAATTAAATTAAATAAAAAAACTAAAACTAACAGAAAAGCAAAACATAAAACAAAATTAAAATAAAATTAAAAAAAAAGATGCTTTCCAAGGCGCTGCTGGATACCCTACCTGTGGGAGCCAGAGCCAAAGAGACCTCCACCATCTGCTTTACAATTGCCTGCCAACAGCCTTGCCTCCTGTTGTTCCTCTGCTCCGCGCGCCCGGCCTCCTGCAGCTCTGCAGCTCCGCGTGGGCTGTGAGAGATCAGAAACAATGTAAAGTTCTTTGTTAACTACTTTCCAAAATGACTTAAATATTAACATCGACTAAGTTCCTCACCTTTCAAGTGTTACCAGGGTGGACTCTGGTTCTCTTCCTGCGGGGTTTGGTGGTGTCAACGCCACAGCAGAAGACCTTTAGGAATGCCTTCCAGGCCCTTTGCGCCCAGCCCGGCCGGGCCCGGGTGTTGGTGGTAGGAGAGGCTGGGGGGCTGCCCTTTTGGGGGGAGCTGTCTGGGGGGGCTCCCTCCTGGTTCTCCACCTTTACAGCCTTTTTCTCCACCTTTACAGCCTCTTTCTCCACCTTTACAGCCCTTTTCTCCACCTTTTCAGCCTCAGTCTCCACCTTTACAGCCTCTTTCTCCACCTTTACAGCCCTTTTCTCCACCTTTTCAGCCTCAGTCTCCACCTTTACAGCCTCGTTCTCCACCTTTACAGCCCTTTTCTCCACCTTTACAGCCTTTTTCTCCACCTTTACAGCCTCGTTCTCCACCTTTTCAGCCTCTTTCTCCACCTTTACAGCCTCGTTCTCCACCTTTACAGCCTTTTTCTCCACCTTTACAGCCTCTTTCTCCACCTTTTCAGCCTTTTTCTCCACCTTTACAGCCTCAGTCTCCACCTTTACAGCCTCGTTCTCCACCTTTTCAGCCTCGTTCTCCACCTTTCCAGCCTTGCTCTCACTGCTGCGGAATCGGAATCTGTTGCTGGTGCGGGGGGTGGGGGCGCCCCCCGGGCGGAGCTGCGGGGCTGGGCCGCGGGTCCCCGGCAGGAGCGCCTGCACAGACTCCAGGGGAAGCGGGGAGGAGGCCATGGTCTCCAGGCTGGGCGGCGGCGCGGGCAGGGCGTAGGTCTTTTTCACCCCCAGGCACGGGAGCCTCAGCATGGATGGTCCAGGCAAGCCCTCTGCCCGGAGCGCCAGCACAGACTCCAGGGGAAAAGGGGAGGAGGCGATGGTTCCCAGGCTGGGCAGCCGCAGGGCGCTGGTCATCTTCGCCCACGGGCAGGGGGGGGTCGCCACTGATGGTCCTGACGAGCCCCCCGATGCCCGGGACTCCTCGCGGCTGGAAGGGGTGGCGGCCCCGGTGTCAGGGGGCCGGTAGGGCCTGACCTTGATGGTGCGGCCCGGCATCCTCCCCATGGCCATCCTGCCCATGGTCATGAGGAGGATGCGGTAAGTCCCCATTACTCGATCGAATGTCTGGCCCGTCACGGAGTTCCTTATGGCCTCCTCCCTAAAGCCCATGCCGCGCATGGTCTCCACAACCTGGGGGTCCAGGTCCTCCTCCAGCGGGTCGCTGTCCGGAGGCAGGTCTTCTGGACCCAGGTCTAGCCACGGCATCCACATGGCCTCCTCCAGGGTTGGCCTCTGGTCGGGGTCGACCGTCAGGAGCCGCTGGAGGAAGCTCCTGCCCTCCTCCGACATGTAGTAGGGGTGCTTGTAGCGCCCCTCCCATATGTGATCCAGTATCTTCTCCTCAAAGTCGCCCGGGAAGGGCACGCGCCCCGTCACCGCCTTGTAGAGGGAGGCGCCCAGCCCCCAGACATCAGCCTTCAGCCCGTCATACGGCTCCCACTGCAGCACCTCGGGCGCCATGTAGGACAGCGTCCCGCACCAGCCGGTGAGCAATTGGCCCGCGGTGGCCTCGCGGCTGAGGCCGAAGTCCGCCAGCTTGGCGGTGAGGTCTTCTTCTAAGAGGATGTTGTCCGGCTTGATGTCCCGGTGCGCGAAGCCCCGCCGGTGGCAGTGGTGGAGGGCCAAGACCACCTGCCGGAACACTGTCCTGGCCTGGCGCTCGGTGAGGCGGCCGCGCCGCTGCAGGTGCTCCCTCAGGTCCCCGCCGCGCACGTACTCCATCACCAGATGTAGCTCCTCGGGGGCCACCACCACCTCCAGCAGCTGCGATATATTTCGGTGCTGTAGGGTTCTTAAACACCGCAGCTCCCGGGAGACATCGCGCCGGAGGATACTCTTGACCACTACCTCCGTGCCCGTGGGCACGTGCGTCGCCAGCCTCACCTTCGAGCACGCGCCCTTGCCGATAGATGTCCCTAACACATAGTCTCCTATGCACTGCCCCTTGGTGGTAGTCGGGACAGGGGAACGGGGCATGGTTACACCAAAAACGTTAAAAATAAAAAATGAAAATTCAGAGTTGTCCTAGTTAGTCTCAGGTCACCTAGACGAGCTCCCTGCACTACACGGACTAAATCCTCAGCCCAGGCAGGGCCTTATGTATAGGAGTGGTTTGCAATTCCATCACACTGGCACTTTATGAGGTCAGAGCAACAACTGCCTGGGGATGAACCACAGTGGTTTTTCTCACTTTTTGGTCTCATGACCCTTAAACTCTGTGAAAAACAAAAAGACACACACTTTTATTTGGGATATTATGTTGATATTTTACTATAAATAAAAATCTATGTAGGTGCGCACGCACGCGCGCACACACACACACACACACACACACACACACACACACACACACACACACACACACACACACACGCAAAAAAGAAAAGTCTGACTTATTCTCATGCTCCAGTTCTCAGTTCAAATATCACCTGCTTAGTTCTCAGTTCGGATATCCCTGATCCATCCATTCCTACCTACCTCACTCAGGCCATCACGTTTGTCATCTTCATAGCACCGACCACAGTGGGGCTGATTCTTGTTTACTGCCTGTCTTTCCCAGGAAGGAAGGAGCATGACTATAGTGTTCCCTGGGTCTAGCACAGTGATTGGCAACAAAGTAAGTGTTTAATACATGTTTGTTCACTGGATTAACAGGAGAGTTTGTGGTAACAAAATATGGCCAACTACTTAATCAAAGTGATCCATGAAATGTCTTAAAAAACAGTCATGTTCTGTCCTCACACAGCTTTTGGGGCAGATAAGGTAGGACCAAGGAGGGCCGAGGTCTATGTTTCTAGGTACGTGGTTGCTCAGTGAGACTGAGGAACAGCCAGCTGGTAGGAGCCTCGCTGTAAAGATTAAAGATGATTGGTCCTTCCACTGGCACTTGCTAAGGACGAAATAAGTTTGGACCTGCAGTAAGGCTGCAAGGTATGTTTACATTTTGAATACCCATTTCCAGATGACACAAAAGACTTCTCTGGATGAAAGAATGTCTACAGAGGTACAAAGGGTAGGGTAATATGTTGGGGTAAATTCTACCCTTTATGGAGGCAGAGGGAGCAGGGAGGCTTAAGGACACTTTGGGGAGCCTCTGGCATACTCTGTTCCATACTGATCCAAGAAAAATCCCCACCTTCAGTACATTGAGTGTTTTAATCACATGTATGTTATCCTAGTAATCATTTTCCTTTAATAGTTCCCAAAGTCTCAGCTTTGTGTCAAGGGAATCTTTAGAGGGATCGGCCTGTGAGCTTCTCCCTCTAGAACACTTTTGTTTGTTCATCTTTATCTTACTTCTGTGATACTCTGCTCCTAAACATGATAGTCTTTGCTGCCGAGCTGATTGGGACCCAAATGGGGGACATTTCATCAGTTCTAAACAGATGTTTACAAGTTAGTCAGAGATTACAATAAACTCAGGAAGGAAAGGCGAGAAACTTTCCAAGAAAGTTGCCAGTGTAAGAGTTAATTATATCTATTTGTAAAAATTGTATTAATAGCTACTTAAGCAATAATACCAACAGAATAGAACATTTTCTTGGCATAATCTCTTTCAGCAAGGTAAATGCAGACTCAAAGATAAGGCATTTAATGTAAAACTGTCAAGGGAAAAGTCAAGCTCAAAAACAGAGAAAAAGGCAATCTTTTTTTTTATCAATATGCTACATAATTTATATGTATCTAATTGTGCCCAAATGAGCATATGTTTTTTATGTTTTGTATTTTTTTTTTTTTTACTTCCTTTTGTTTGCGTGTGTTTTTTCCCATAGATCCCCTCCTCTCCACATCCACCCCTCCTCAGTGTTCACCACTGAAATAGGATGAGTTTAAGTTCTGGGCAAGGTTACAGGCAGAACTTTCTTTTTCATTAAAGAGCCAGCCCTATGTACACCTAATGGTTATCTCGATGCTGGCCTTGAAAACAATGCTGTTCTATCCAATTAAAGAAAAAGAAAATGCACCTGGCATGGTATTGAGATTGTGGGCATAGCTGGTCTCCGGCCTGCAAGGTCAGACAGCTAAGTTTATCTTCATCATTCTTCAAACAGGCTAAAGCAAACTAGAAAGCAACATTTTGATTAAGAACAGCAGAAAATTCCAAACAACAGTTTGCTGCAGATGGGGGTTTTCCTTCTCAGAACCTTTAAAAATAACTACCGGCCCCTAAAGCCTCGCAGTCGTTTGGAGTCCGCCTGTGTGTGGCGCTGTTGCGGCTGCCCTGGCCAGGTATTTCAATAAATTATTTGCCTGCTTTTTTAATAAATTATCAGCCTCTGGTGGTCTTATTTTGAACCCTGGGTTCGACCCCACAACATTTGGAGGCCCCCAGCAAGATAACCGAAAGAGAGGATAGAGGGGCAGGAGGGGGCAGAAGGCTTGTTCTCCACAGGAGGCTCTCCCTTTCACCAGAGGAGAGAGGGACGCCCCAGGAGGGGCAGGCGGCTTGTCCTCCACAGGAAGCTCTCCCTCCTTTCGGGGACCTTAGCCGAATGGAGACAGAAGCCGCAAGGATTTATTGAAATCAGGGAGACCGGTCTCATAAGGTAAGGCACCCTTAACCTCCAGGCTCTGGCCCAAGGACACAACGGTGTCCCTGGCCCCAGGTGTCCGGACGGGTTGTCTTGTATTTTGTCATATTTATGTCAGGCCTATTTGTTTTGTGTTTTGTGTTTTGGTCTCCATCAAAATGGGTCAAGGTCTGTCAGTGTCTCCGTGTACCCCTCTACAGTGTTTTTTGAAAAATTTCCAGGACTTCAAGAAACAGGCGGACGAATAAGGCTCTGATGTTAATGCTTTTGATTTAACCACTCTTTTCCCCAGGGCAACGCCCTTCTGTAGGGTAACTTTCCCCTCACAGTTCCTAGAATATTAGTCTTATTTCATTTGTCCAACATGAGTGCCATTTCTGTTTTGCTGAAACATTGTAATAGTACTTATTTCCAGGACTTCAAGAAACAGGCGGACGAATAAGGCTCTGATGTTAATGCTTTTGATTTAACCACTCTTTTCCCCAGGGCAACGCCCTTCTGTAGGGTAACTTTCCCCTCACAGTTCCTAGAATATTAGTCTTATTTCATTTGTCCAACATGAGTGCCATTTCTGTTTTGCTGAAACATTGTAATAGTACTTATTTACTGAAAGGGTATAAGTACAGACATTTATTTGATGTTTTGTTTCTTTGCTTGGGTATAATTATTTGTTCATATAAGTGTGAAAATCTATTTTTAAAAAAAGAGAGAGAGAGAGAGAAAGAACGAAATCTTTAATTTGTTTAAAGCTGAGTGCTCTAACGGCTAGCAAACTGCCCCGAGTGGCCACTGGATTCATTTTTCCCAGTTGTGCTTTACTTTCTGTCAGAGGGGAATCGGCCCACCTAACAGGATTTATATGTTTATTAATTTGAAGGTATGAAATTGTAACAAATGTGGTAAAAAAGTTAAAAGCAGAGACCAAATTCTAAAGTTAACTATTTACAAGAAGGAAGCTTGAGCTGGCAAAGTCGCCAAGTCTGCCCAGCAAGCTCAAAAAACTAAATGAATCTTATTTCTGCCACCCCCCAGTCTTGATCAGTGGTGGAGGAACTGTTTGTTTCAATAGATCAGTTTTTGATATGATTAATGATTACAGTACATTGTAAAATCTTTAAAAGAAAAGGAAAATATTTTGAGGGCAGCTTGGTCCTTATGTGTGTGTGTGTCAACTCTTAAATTATAGTTTAAAAATCCGTAATATTAATGGAAACACACGCAGAGGAGCTTTTCAAAAAGTCAGAGAGTCTGATTGCAGTATAGGGGTCGCCAGTTCCTCCACACCACCTTAGTTAGCAAGAGGCAAGAGGCGAACTGCCAGATGAAAATGCCTGGCCTGGGTGGGAGCTCCTCCTTCACCACCTGGGACCTGGGTGCTCCCTGCCTCCGCCCACCTCCAGGGGTTGTTTTGAGTAGGAGGTGGAGGCTGCTGAGAGGAGAGAAATTCCTTTGTGACCCCCTGCAGCCCAATGAAACCCAACCCCCCAGTGAATGCTTGCACACTTTTCACCATGTTCTGTTAGGGGGCTTAAAGGCACAGTTAGAAATTCTCCATTCCCCTTTTTCAGGCTTATCAGAATCTGAGATCTGCATCTGTAGGAAAACTGTGGCATTTTAAATTACAAGGGGCTAGAGGCCTGGGAACAGAGTGCTGAGCTGCTCCCTCCTCCCTCTACCTTTTCTAAATATTTTTAAATAATGAGATTTGAGGCATGGTTATACATTTTTGAAAAACATAGAAAGAAGGTTTAAAGGCTAATGTAGAATAGAAAAAGTTTTTGTGAAAATTATACATGTGATGAGGAGGAGAAGCAGGGAGAGAAAGAAACAGCAGAAGTAGAGGTCTAGAGAGAAAGAGAGACAGAGAGGGAGAGAGACAGAAGGTGAGGCCGGAAGAGACAGAGACGGTCTGAAAGAAAGGGAGACTGAGGCTCCAAGGGTGTTTGAACTTAGAGGAGGAAGACTGACAAGACTGGGGCTCCTTTCCATTAAGCCCCCAAGGGTAACCTTACAAGGGTAGGGCAAACCTATTAGTTTCCTGGTGGATACTGGGGCAGTCTATTCAGTCTTGACAGAACCGATGGGACCTCTAAGAAGATATCAGTCCAGGGAGCCACCAGACAAACTGCCTATTTTCCTTGGACATCACGAAGGACTATGGGCCTAGGAAGGAACACATACTGGGGGAACGCAGCTGCTGAACTGGACTGAAGTAGAACAACGGGCATTTGAGGAGCTAAAGAAGGCTCTCATCTCAGCACCTGCCCTAGCCTTGCCAGATGTCACCAAGTGAGTGAGGTAAGGGACAATGCCAAAGGGGTTTTCACCTAGACTCTAGGTCCCTGGAAGAGACCTGTGGCCTATCTGTCTAAGAGGCTAGACCCTGTGACAGCAGGGTGGCCAGTATGTCTCCGGGCAGTGGCCATCACAGCATTGCTGGTGAAG